CTCTGACCTGTGAGCATCTTTAGCATCCGACCTGAAGACGTTCAGCTGAAGAAGCAGGAAGTCCCTGCTTTGGATTGGATCGTTCAGATAAACATGGAGAGGCCACGCCCACTGAGCATCCAGTAGAAACACAGGAGAAACATCATAGCAGTGTTCCTATAATAACACGTGAAATCTACTCTAAGATGAATTTTTCAGTTTCAAGCATAAACACCAAAAGAGTTCTAAAAAATGACATCTCAGATATTTGTGGGGACGTTTGTGCGTCCACCAGTATTTTCACCACTAATAAATACTTTCAAGTGTCGTCAAAGGTCAAAGTGGAGGTGCTGCTTTTAGAAAACACAGACTATTGTAGAAAACAGCCATTCACGCCGGAGGTGCCATTCAGAGTCCCCACGGTGGTCACGCTCAGTCTGAGGAGGCTGAAGGACAGGGAAAGGTTTTTGTCTCCAAAACTGAAATCTGAATAAAATCAAAGGTCAGAGCAGCTTAAATACGTTTCACAATGCTTTCTGTTCTTTGTGTGTTTTCATTCAGCTGGTTGGAGTTAAAGGCCACCTTTGACCTGCGGATACATGTGCACACTGCTAGCCGGGATCACAGCACACCTGTGCAGTTCTAGCTCCGCCTCTTTACAAATATGATCTCAGATTTTTGAACACGTTGACGGCCCGGTCATTTTCCCAGCTGTTTCTAGCAGCGAATGGGACACAGTATGACAAGAGGTGTAATGCTCCGGCTCAGCGTGGCCCCGCCCATCCCCCGACCTTTGACTCAGTATTCAGCCTCCTCAGCTCCGAGCGTTTCTGAGACGGGATGCCGAATGGCACAGAGATGTCAATAAATTAAAGGGCAGCAGTGCTGTGGCAAACACATTCAGCAGCAGCTGAGGAACTCAACACTCAACAAAATAATAAAGCTAATAGTGCACAATGTGTTCTCTACAGGCGGACTCGCACAACGCTAGCACTGGAAGTCTGATCCGAACATTAAAAAGCTTGTAAATATACAAATGCAGTATATCGAGAATAATAATCATAATCATATCATCGTCATATTAAGAATCTGATTGTACAAAGTTCTACATTCTCCCGACGGTAAAAAGCTGCTTAAAGCCTCTGAGACAAACACAACGGCTCAAAAATCGCAGAATATCAAAGGTGGCACCGCCGGCATTTTGTTAGCTCGCGGCTAGCAGACACCATTGCTCCGGGTGAGGAATGCTAACAAAGCTAACGAGTCCGAGTCAAATCACCGGAGGGCAGGACCGCGGGCCGACAGCAGCGAACGTCAAAACGCCACGGAGGCTGAAGCCGAAACACAAAACACTAAGTCAGTTCCAGCATGCAGAAAATCACAAATCTGTACAGAAACACTGAAGAGGAAGAAACACAAGCCCTCCCTGCAGAACTCCAGCCAAACATCCAACCGTTTTACACCACCGCAAAGAAAATCCACCAAAAATGGCGCCGACTCAGAGACTCTGAGCCGGCAGATCGATAACTAAAGCCACGATCCAAGATGCAGGTAAAGTTTAAGTTATTAAGTTAGTCCATAATTAAGGCTTCTAAAAAACAAAGACAGGAAGAAAAGAACCACACGGAGATATGAGGTTTCACACCGCGACCACGCCACCAACAGACCAACAGGGGGCAGTCTGAGTTCCTGCAGTACGGAGGCCCAGAAGAGTCAAAAAGCACCATGTGAAATGGCAGCTCACGTTCACATCCAACCCTCACAATGGTTTATGTTTACTCATCTAGTATTAAAGTACTGCAGTACTCTATAGGCAGTATATATGGATGTTTCACCATCAGTCTGAGTCACTTTTTCTCTGTTGTACTGGTTTGTGATTGGCTGAAGCTTAGCGACACATCAGTGCTGATGTACAGTCACTACAGGTTCCATAGATCGGCGTCGTGTTCGTTAACTGAATCAAATCAAACGTCTGCATGTTTGCGTTTATGTACATTTATTATTGCTTAAAATACTCCCAGCCCAGCCAGTAACTGCATTGGGATGTTTCTGCTGTTAAGCGTCTGAAATCTATAGCTCAGTAACTGTTGTTACAGTCCCGAGTGTGACTGTAACAACTCACTATATTTGTGTCACTATGAAGGGCAGTGATGTTTGTCACTTCTGGGACTCCGTACATTCCTGTCAACACTGGAGACTGATGATGATTCTGATTGGCTGTCTGAGTATCGAGGAGTTTTAGAATGTGTAAAAAACATCAAAGAGGAGTTTGTTCGTGTTTGTGAGTCTGTGTGTGTCTGTCTGTGTGTCTGTGTGTGAGTCTGTGAGTCTGTGTGTGAGTCTGTGAGTCTGTGTGCGAGTCTGTGTGTGTGTGTGTGTGTGTGTGTGTGAGACTGTGTGTGTGTGTGAGTCTGTGTGTGTGTGTGAGTCTGTGTGTGTCTGTGTGAGTCTGTGTGCGAGTCTGTGTGTCTGTGTGTGTGTGTGAGACTGTGTGTGTGTGTGTGTGTGAGACTGTGTGTGTGTGTGAGACTGTGTGTGTGTGTGAGTCTGTGTCTGTGTGTGTGTCTGTGTGCGAGTCTGTGAGTCTGTGTGTGTGTGTGTGAGACTGTGTGAGTCTGTGTGTGTCTGTGTGTGTCTGTGTGTGTGTCTGTGTGTGAGTCTGTGTGTGAGTCTGTGTGTCTGTGTGAGTGTCTGTGTGTGTGTGTGAGACTGTGTGTGTGTGTGTGAGACTGTGTGTGTGTGTGAGTCTGTGTGTGTCTGTCTGTGTGTCTGTGTGTGAGTCTGTGTGTGTGTCTGTGTGTGTGTCTGTGTGTGAGTCTGTGTGTGTCTGTGTGTGTGTCTGTGTGTCTGTGTGTGAGTCTGTGAGTCTGTGTGCGAGTCAGTGTGTCTGTGTGTGTGTGTGAGACTGTGTGTGTGTGTGTGTGTGTGAGACTGTGTGTGTGTGTGAGTCTGTGTGTGTCTGTGTGTGTGTCTGTGTGTGAGTCTGAGTCTGTGTGTGTGTGTGAGTCTGTGTGTGTCTGTGTGTGTCTGTGTGAGTCTGTGTGTGTGTCTGTGTGTGTGTCTGTGTGTGAGTCTGTGTGTGAGTCTGTTTGTGAGTCTGTGTGTGTGTGTGTGAGTCTGTGTGTGTGTGTGTGAGACTGTGTGTGTGTGTGAGTCTGTGTGTGTCTGTCTGTGTGTCTGTGTGTGTGTCTGTGTGTCTGTGTGTGAGTCTGTGTGTGTGTGTGAGACTGTGTGTGTGTGTGAGTCTGTGTGTGTCTGTGTGTGTGTGTGTGTCTGTGTGTGTGTGTGAGTCTGTGTGTGTCTGTGTGTGAGTCTGTGTGTCTGTGTGTGTGTGTGAGACTGTGTGTGTGTGTGAGTCTGTGTGTGTCTGTGTGAGTCTGTGTGTGTGTGAGTCTGTGTGTGTCTGTGTGTGTGTCTGTGTGTGAGTCTGTGTCTGTGTGTGTCTGTGTGTGTGTGAGTCTGTGTGTGTGTGTGTGTCTGTGTGTGAGTCTGTGAGTCTGTGTCTGTGTGTGTCTGTGAGACTGTGTGAGTCTGTGTCTGTGTGTGTCTGTGTGAGACTGTGTGTGTCTGTGTGTGTGTGTGTGTGAGTCTGTGTCTGTGTGTGTCTGTGAGACTGTGTGTGTGTGAGTCTGTGTGTGTGTGTGTGTGTGTTTGACTGTGTCTGTGTGTGTCTGTGTGTGAGTGAGTCTGTGTGTGTCTGTGTGTGTCTGTGAGACTGTGTCTGTGTGTGTGTGTGTGTGTCTGTGTGTGTGTGTGAGACTGTGTGTGTGTGTGTTTGTGTGTGTGTCTGTGTGTGTGACTGTGTGTCTGTTCCTGTCTAGCTATCTTTGTGAGAACCAGCGGTCACTTGTGAGGACACACTCACACACACTCACACACTCACAGTCCTCACAAGTTTGAAGCCTTTCTGAGGCTCAAAATGTGGTTTTAGTGTCAGGGTTACAATTAGGTTATGGTTAAGTTTAGGGTTAGGCATTTTTAATGGTTAGGGTCAGGGGCTAGGGAAACCATTGTTTATAATGGAGCACTGTAACAAAAAAATAATTTCCCTCAGGGATCAACAAAGTATTCTGATTCTGATGTCAATGAAGGTCCTCACTAAGATAGCTGGACAGGCTTGTGTGTGTGTGTGTTCCTTATTCCTTTCTTGGTTTCTTTTGTTTTTATTTTTAGTCCCTTGACTCCTTTCTTCCTTCCCTACTTCCTTGTTCCCTCACAGGTAAGAGGCAGCTCCTAAATCTGAACCTTGTAAACTCAGTGTGAACAGCAAAGTTTGTGCTGCTAATGATGCTCTGAGCGGAGAGCAGGCAGGTAGATACACGCCTCGTTAAGGCCTTCCTCATTAGGATATGTGGTGGCGGTGGCTGTGGGGGAGGGGTGGGGCTGATCTGAGCAGAGGTGTGGCTGTTCATGGAAGATCACAGGTCAGAGGGTGGTGGAAGCTTCTAGAGCTCTCCAAGCCCGATGGAAGCAGATGAGTGTTCATGTGCAGCGCGCACAGTTTAAATAAAGTTTCTCCATTAGACAATGTCATCGTGAAGGCCACGAGCTGCTTTAGCCGCTAACCAGTTTAAAACGATCCATGTGTGAGCTCTGGGTCACCCGAGGGTTTAGCTGAATAACTGGGCTTCACCATGTTTCTAACATGCTAGTTTAAGAGCTGTGCCATTAGTATATATGTATAAACTCTGGAAGCATACGAGGCAAATACGGTAAACAAAGGCTTAAAGTTGTAAAAACATAAAACAAAAAAGGGGGAATGAGATGCTTTTTAAAATTAATAACTATGAAGAAGAGTTTTATTTCTGATGTACGGGAAGAAAAAAGTGTTTTTATTAATATATTTTTTACTGTAATCAGATAATCCTGATTTTCCAGGTTTATATTATATAATTGGTCTGTTTGCTGTTGTCAGTGTGGCTCAGCTCGAGTCTCAGTCACGAGTTCATTTATCTAAATAATCTGTAGCGACCAAAGCAGCTCTTGATCATAGTATTATATCACATTACATCTATATAATATATGTTTTTGTTCCTTTATGTAAATATCTGTAGTTTCAGGAAAGCTTGTATCTCCCACACGTCTAAAGGCGAGGCTCGTACTTCCTGTTTAATATCTAAAGGTAACCAACGCGTGAACGTGAACACTATAAAAGCTAAGTCTGTGCAGCCAACGGGTCAGTAGATCCGTGAGAAACGTAACAAGGAGCAAAAATGAAAGCTGGAAACTTTTTCTACGTCTACACTCGATCAGCTACAACACGTCATGTAGATGGAGGCAACACTGGGCTGTTTGGGTGGAGCCATGCTAACAGTTTCCCCCTGCTTCCAGTGTTTGTGCTAAACTAGGCTAACCACATGCTGGGTGAAGCTAACACACAGTAGTGACGTGTTCTGTCCACAGGGGGAGCTGTGGTGTGCAGGTGTTGGTCCTGTTAAACATCTGAAGGTTTGAACCTCCTGAACTCGAACAAACTGGAGATACAAGGTTTCCAAACATTATTACAATCTGATTGGCTGATCACAAGGGGGCGTGGCGGAAGCAAAGTCCAAACAAGCTGAGAAGAGGAAGCTGATTGGTTGGTTGGTAATGCAGTTCACTTGTTGGAGTGAAGCTTTCTGGCCCCGTCGTCTCCTCTCCAAACTCCTCAAACAAAATCCTGAATGGTTGGTGTCAGAGGCCCGGCCTGCTGTCAATCAAACTGCTGTCACGGCGACGGTGGCCCCATCAAAGATCCACTCACTCTGGAAGTTAGCTGGAGACGAAACCAAACGTGTTTGTGAGCGACTGAATCAACAATGTCTGACAACACAGACGATTCAACCTGCTGAACAGTGACGAGTCCACGACACGCATTTTACCTGCATCACGTCACAGCAGCAAAGACACACAAAGACACACTCGGACCAGCCCCCCACCCTGAAAGGTAACGCTGTAGTTACAGTCGAATCTGCTGATCGGAAGACAGCAGCAGATGTAATCAGCTGAGTAAATCAGTAAAAACACGTCAAGAAACACCTGGACGTGTCAGGAAGTCAAACACCCTGAAAATCACAGTGAGCGATGATGCAGCCTCTCGTTCATGTTACTGACGCCTTCAGGCTCCTGATCAGATGATGGATCTCAGACCATCACTGACCCCCCGCCAGCCCGGTCACGCTCTACAGGCAGCATCTTCACAGCTTCTCCAGACCCTTTCACATCAGTCACATGTGCTCAGGGTGGACCAGCCAAGTCTGCTGTTCTATGGCTCCGCCTCCCAGGCAGTGAGCACAGGGCCTATAGAGGATGTCGGGCCTTCAGGCCATCCTCATGAAGTCTGGTTGTTTGGTCAGAGATGTTCACACCAGCGGCCAGCTGGAGGTCAGGGTACATCGTAGGTGGTGGAGGGCGACTGTGTGCGCCCGGCCGAACTAGTGGGTGAGGCCACTGACCAGGATGTCAAGTGTACCAGGGGCATGCAGCTAAACTTGTCATACCAGCGGCCTGCTGGAGGTCATCGTGTAGCTCTGGATATCCTCGTTCGGTTCTGATACCGGCCCTGATGATGGCCTCCTACGGCCGGAGTCTCCTCCATGCTCTGCAGACTGTGCTGGGAGACACACAAACCTTCTGACACTGGCATGTATTGATTTGCTGGAGGAGTTGGACTGCCTGTGCTAGTTGATTTCATGAACGTCAGAGCAGCTGAAACTGATTAACAGTCTCTCTACTACTGAACTAATCAGAGGTTTAACCGACTGGCTGCTGTGCTCTGATTTAAAAGTGTCCCTTTCAGTTTTCCTGAGCAGTGTGTGGTGGATGCTTGTCGTGGTTTGGGGTCATTTTGCTGTTCACAGCAGACCTGCTGAGCCTCTGTGCGGTCCTCCTGTCCTCAGCACACCGACTGTGGATCAGCACCTGGTGTGAACCCTCGACTGCACTTTTTCCACTCGAGTGGACAGTCTGTACGAGGGCACTGCTGCTGAGGTCTGATGCATCAGTAACAGCGGCAGGTTCGTTGGTTCCTGGGTTTTGTCTCTCAGGAACGACAGTCTGGCTCAGATTCAGTCTGCAAACACGAGTGGGGCTAAAATAAGCAGCTCCACCTCCACCCAGATTCATTTATCATCGACATGAAGCAGAGCGAAGGCGTGATGCAGAAACAGCTTCACAGCGTTTCATATGAGGGATGATTCAGCACCAACCACCTGCAGTGAATGTGTCGTTGGTAAAAAGAGCAAATATACTAAGCATGGAGAAAACTGGTGTTGACAAAGTGCTGAGGAATATACACGTGCATGACTTCACTGATGTCTGCTGAGGATCAGATTCGCCGATCCTGCCTCTCTTCACACGTTTTCTCCGTGCAGCTCGTTATCATGCTGGTTTTTCCCAGCTGCCCCAAACGCCCCGCTGCCCTTTGACCTGCTCTTACTTGCTCAGCGTGGAGGGGGAGCCTGAGCGGTGGAAGTGCACGATCTGCCACTTCCCGTCACGGCGGTGCCACACCCTGGTCTCCTCCGATTGGGCGGTGCGAGGCGTCCCGTTGGAGTCGATGTACTGCGTCACCCTGACGTATGCGATGCAGGCGGCCTCGTCGCCCACCAGGTGGATGTGAGGGTTCAGGATGGTGGTGTGCACCGGTTTGCTGTTCTTGGACCACACTGCAGACACAGACGGACAGGTGAACATGGTCAGGTGACCTCTGAGAGTTTTTTTACAAAGCAAGGTGTAACAGGAAGTCTGCTTCAGCTCACAGTTTTCAAAGTAAAAGCGGTGGAAGTCCAGGCCTTCGACCAGATTCCCCAACGCCTCGGGCTCGAACGCCGTCACAGCCGGGTCGCACATTTTACTGCAGGGAGAGAATCGTTTACTGAGACGAGTCAGAGACACGTTTAACAGGGAGCAAGTGAAAAAAACCATCCACACGCACAACACGCACAACACGCACAACACGGTCCTGTCGGAGCTCTGACCCCCGTCTCTGTGAACCTTCAAGCCCGGATCAGCAGCCCAAACTTTCATTGTTTTATAGCTTTTATTCTTTATCGATCACTCATAGATGAAATATCTGTCACTTTGAAACACCTGCAGGACACTTTGTTACACATATTAGCATAAATGTGTTTCCTGCTTTGATTTCTTTTGTTTTCTTAGGATGGGAGTTTTTCCGTCCCACTGTCGCTAAAGTGCTTGCTCATATGATTGTTGGGTTTTTCTCTGTATGTATTGCTGTAGGGTCTACCTTACAATATAAAGCACCTTGAGGCGACTGTTGTTGCGATTATAAAACTTTAACGGTTCAATCAACACACAGAAAAACAGATTTTATTGGCGAGCCAATCATCAAAGATGTCTGAGATTAGAAAACAGGAAGTATCAGTTCATTAAACAGGGCGCCTTCAACATCACGGCCAGGCCGGATCGTTTGGGCCAGTTTGGAGATTCAGGCCGAGCCACAGTTAATTACATCGATGTGATGTTTACAGCGACGCCGACGTCACCAAAGCGCTCTGTGAGCAGGAAAGCGAGCGTGACTGAAGTGTTTGTAACATTTGGGGAAAAGCTGAGCGTGGGTCAGAAGACGACTCGTTTGTATTGTTGGGTTAAAGGATGCTGATTCGCTCTCAGCGTTTAAAGACTGGCCACTGATCAGGACGTCTGATTGGCTAGTTTCAATCACTGATTTATTTCTGCTGGCACCAGCTTCAGAGAGGAGCGAGGGCAGCGTCAGGAGATGTTCCAGATGTTTCCATCAGAAGCACTGATTCACCTGCCCAAAGGTACGTTAAAGGGTGACTCCGCCCTCTGTGAGGCTCACTCGTGTCAGGGATTTCTCAACGCTTTGATGGTTTTATTCAAAAACAAACAAACAAACATTCCTTCTGCCCGAGCGTGCTCAGTGCTGGTTACATACGTGTAGCTCTCAAAGTCTCCGTTGCTGATGGCCTCGATGAGCTGCTCAGTGACTTTAATGATGTCCTGTTTCCTCCCTGAAACACACACATGCACACACGCACGCACGCACATGCACACGCACGCGCACACGCACGCGCACACGCACGCACGCACATGCACACACACACACACACACAGGTTAGTGCTGGTTCAGCAGCGTCCCGGCTCACTCGCTGTGTGTCTGTGCGTCCTCACCTCGGGTGTCTTCGTCCTCGATGGTGGTGTTTGTGCTCTCAGAGGATTCCTGCAGAGGAAGAAGAGTCAGTGTGGGCGGAGTCCCATCTAACCACACCCACCATAGTTTCCACTTTGCTGTTTCCGTCTGTTTCCAGTGTGTTTGAAGAGTGATTACAGTTTACAGAGACGTTTAACCTGAGACTCTTATTTTCTTATTCTTCAGCGAGCTTTACAGTTTTTGCTCCTCTCGTTTGTGTGGATGGGTTAATTGATTACTCTAAATTATAGGTGTGAATGTAAGTGCGAATGGTTGTCTGTCTCTGTGTGTGAGCCCTGCAACAGACTGGCGACGGACGGATGAATGGATGGACGGACGGACAGATGAATGGACGGATGGATGAATGGATGGACGGATGAATGGATGGATGGATGGACGGACAGATGAATGGACGGATGGATGAATGGATGGACAGATGGATGAATGGATGGACGGATGAATGGATGGATGGATGGACGGACGAATGGATGGATGGACAGACGGACAGATGAATGGACGGATGGATGAATGGATGAATGGACGGACAGATGAATGGACGGATGGATGAATGGATGAATGGACGGACGGACGGACGGAAGGATGAATGGATGGACGGATGAATGGATGGATGGATGGACGGACGAATGGATGGATGAATGGATGGACAGATGGATGAATGGATGGACGGATGAATGGATGGATGAATGGATGGATGGACGGACAGATGGATGGATGAATGGATGGATGGACGGACGGACGGACGGACGAATGGATGGACGGATGAATGGACGGACAGACGGATGGATGAATGGATGGACAGATGAATGGATGGATGGATGGATGGATGGACGGATGGATGAATGGATGGATGGAGAGACGGACAGATGGACAGATGAATAGATGGACGGACGGATGAATGGATGGATGGATGGACGGACGGACGGATGAATGGACGGACAGACGGATGGATGGATAAATGGATGGACGGATGGATGAATGGACAGACGGACGGATGAAAGGATGGATGGATGGATGGATGGACGGATGGATGGACGGATGGACGGATGGATGGACGGACAGATGGATGGATAAATGGATGGACGGATGGATGAATGGACAGATGGACGGATGAAAGGATGGATGGATGGATGGACGGACGGATGAATGGATGGACGGATGAATGGACGGACAGACGGATGGATGGATAAATGGATGGACGGATGGATGAATGGACAGACGGACGGATGAAAGGATGGATGGATGGATGGACGGACGGATGAATGGACGGACAGATGGATGAAAGGATGGATGGATGGATGGACGGACGGATGAATGGACGGACAGATGGATGGATGGATAAATGGATGGACGGATGGATGAAAGGATGGATGAATGGACGGACAGACGGATGGATTCGGTTTGGTCAAGATGGCGCCGGTGTGTGTGGCTGCTCGTCTGTCACTGTCATGTTTGTTCCTGTTTATGTTATTTCTAATTTGTGTCATCCACGAAACAAAGTCTCTGCTGAGGTATGATCGCCAGACACTATTGGACCTCAAACCTGTGGTCCAAAATATTGTGTCCTTTGGAGCTGGTGGGCAGCAACCCCTGCCCCCATTTGCATCGGAAACCCCGGGTTACCTGTACCGGGTTCCCACGCTACCTTCCCGGCGAAAGCGTCCTCGTCGCCGGGGTAAACGAAGCGGTCGCCTGGTGAAGCTAAAGGTTTACCTAAAGAATTATTCTGCTGTTTTCCGACCAGTGCATGGATTCTTGCCAAGGCTGTTTGCGTCTCGGCGTTTTCTGGACCCTGTTGATGCCTGTTTGGTGCCTGTGGTCGGCTTTGATGATGATGCTCCTCGGCCTCGCTGCCCATGCCCTCCCAGGCTAAACCTCCGCTGTCAACATTATTGGAACCTGAGATCGCTGCGGCGGGTTTCTGGACCTCCTGAACCCCGAGCGCCAACTCCAGCTCCCGCTAGGATTGGCCTGGTGAACACCAGATCACTTTTAAACAAAACTTCTATTCTTCGGGACTTCTTCAGTTCCCGTGATCTGGATTTTCTGTGTGTGACTGAGACGTGGCTGAGTGTTGGTGAGTCCAGTGTTCTATCTGAACTTTTACCTGTGGATTGTTGCTATTTTAACTCGCCACGGACGTCAGGCAGAGGTGGAGGCACAGTGACTGTTTACAAAAAGGATTTTAAATGTAAGCAGTGTTTTCTACAGCCTCCGTTCTCCAGCTTCGAACACACCTCCTTCGAGGTGAGTCGTACAAACCCGATTTTCTGCGCTGTCATCTATCGCCCCCCGAAATACAATAAGAACTTCATAAACTACTTTTCTGATTTTTTAGCTGAGATTATGCCCAACTATGATAGTGTTCTTATTGTTGGAGATTTTAATATACATGTATGCTGTCCTGATAAGCCACTGGTAAAGGACTTTTTAAGCCTTATTGACTCTTTTAGCCTGGTACAGTCCGTACGTGGCCCTACACATGAGCACAGACACACATTGGACCTTGTTCTGTCATATGGTCTGCCTGTCACTGACTTGGAGATTTGTGACTGTGCACTCTCAGATCATATGCCTGTGTTATTCAACGTTGGTTTGACATATACCGCAGTTAAACCTGGCGCTGCTACTCGGTGCTGTCGGGTTATTAACCCCGCCACTGCTGCACAGTTTTCTGCTGCTTTTAATCAGCTCGGCGGCCCTTCTGACTTTGTCTCCTCTGACACAGAAGAGCTAAATTCCTGGTTTTATTCTTGCTGTAAAAAAATCATGGACTCTGTGGCTCCTTTAAAAACCAGGCAGCTTAAGGCTAAACCTGAGCCTTGGTTTAATGAGAGCAGTCGTGCTGTTAAGAGGGAATGTCGTCGAGCAGAACGGAGGTGGAAAAAGGATAAACTGCATGTATCATTTCAAATTCTCAAAGACTGCTGGCATCGCTACCAGAACACTGTTAAAGAGGCAAAAAGGGAATATTTTGCAAATATTATTTCTTCCAACTGTCATAACCCACGTGTGTTATTTAGGACCATTGACACTGTTCTTAATACTCCTTTGAATGTCTGTTTGGAAGTTTCTCCTGAGATTTGCAATGATTTTCTGAACTTTTTTATTGAAAAGGTTGTCACCATCAGGGCTCTTATCACAGCTCCTGACTCTGACCCTCTGTCTCTGTCCCTTGCGCTGCTGTTTTCACTCAGTTTGAGCTTGTGACGCTCTCCTCTTTAGAGGATGTGGTTCGCCATATTAAGCCCACAGGTTCCCCACGGGATCCTGTCCCTCCACAATTCTTTAAAGAAATTTTTCCTAGTATACAACAGTATGTCCTTGACATTATTAACAGCAGTCTGCCTTCTGGTGTGGTTCCTGCAAATTTCAAACATGCAGTAGTACAGCCACTGCTTAAGAAACCTGGCCTTGATCACACAGTTTTAGCGAACTATAGGCCTATTTCCAAGCTGCCTTTAGTCTCCAAGGTTTTAGAGAAAATTGTTTTTAGTCAACTGAAAGATTTTCTAGATGATAATGGCATCTTTGAGGTTTTTCAATCAGGTTTTAAAACCCTTCACAGCACAGAATCTGCATTACTAAGGGTTTTTAATTACCTCCTTCTGGCATGTGATTCTGGTAACCATGTTGTTCTTGTCTTGCTCAGTGGTGAAGTCCAGTTTTTATCATTTAAGGCGACTGGCACGAGTAAAATCTTTTCTTTCGAGGCAGCACCTTGAAACAGTGATCCATGCTTTTATTTCTTCCCGCCTGGACGACTGTAACTCACTTTATGTGGGGGTCAGTCAGTCATTGCTCTCACGTCTGCAGCTGGTTCAAAATGCGGCTGCACGACTCCTAACAGGAACTCGAAAAAGAGAGCATATAAGCCCCGTGCTGGCCTCTCTGCACTGGCTGCCTGTGTCTTTTAGAGTCTCTGGGGACACCTCAGGCCCTCCAAGGTTTGGAGGCCTATCTCCACCCACCACCACTTCCCCTGCCGGTGGCGGACTCCCTCAGGTGTCGGTGTGTTGGTGGTTCTTTGTGTCTGGGGGTGGGCGTCCAGGTACACACCGGCTCACTCCTTGGCGGCCGCTTGTCGGGGCCTGGGGCTCGCTCGGGCCCCTTTGGAGGTGGGGTGCCCCCGGCCTCTCGGCCTGGGGCTCGGTCACTCAGGCACAGCTGGGGGCCGGCGGAGCTCACGGGCGCGTCACTGCAACTCCCCCTGACTTCTGCTCCGCGGCTGCTGGGCGAGCCCTCATCTGGGACTCTCCTCAGCTCTTACTGGGACAGTGGCGCGGCTGCCCCTCTGTTGGTCTTCCATGGTCTCTTGTGTTCTGGGGGCCTCTGGATGTCTGGAGTTTTGATCTCCTCCATACCCGCTTCACACCCTGGAGGACGGGGCTGTGGCCCCCCCACACTCCCTAGCAGATCATTACATGGAGAAACCTTTGGAATGCAAGCATGCTGATCCACACAGGTATGCACACATGGGTATTCACAGACGCGGACTAAAGCTTTCTTGGCTGCTGCCTCAAAGCACACTGTGCGCTGTCTATCTTGCTTGCTGCACAATATCGTTTATTATTTAGTAAATACTGATATCTATGACTAGCTAGTTTATTGTGATGGTGTTTGTTTTCTCTATTATTATGTTGCTCTTTGTTGTTTGCTGTCTCCTCTGTTTGTTTTTTTTGTTTGTTTTTTTTTTCTCCATACAGGTGACCCAGGAGTTCTTTTTTTTTTCTCTCTCTTCCCCCCCCTTCTCACCGTCTCTTCTCCCCTTTGGTTTTCTTTCTTTCTCTCCCCCTCTTTCTCTCATTCATTCCCCCTGTCCTATTTATAAAAAAAAAAAAAAAAAAAAAAAAAAAAAAATAGAGTTAATTTTAAAATTCTTATGTTTGTTTTTAAATGCCTGCACAGTCTTGCCCCGCCTTACCTCTCTGAGCTTCTTCATCCCCACAGACCCTGTCGGTCTCTCAGGTCAGCTGACCAGCTGCTCCTGGAGGTACCGAGATCCAGGAGGAAGCTCAGAGGGGGCGGGGCCTTCTCTATTGTGGCTCCTAAATTATGGAATAATTTGCCCATGCACGTTAGAGAGGCCCCCTTCACTGTCTACTTTTAAATCACGTCTTAAAACCCACTTTTATTCCTTGGCTTTTAACCTCAGTGAGACTTAGTTTCTCTTTTAATTGAAGTAGTTATTTAATTAACGATTTCACTCTTTGGTTTTTATTTATATCTCATGTAATTTTATTTTACAGTTCCAATGTACAGCACTTTGTGTCAGCTGTGGTTGTTTTTAAAGTGCTTTATAAATAAAGTTGATGATGATGATGATGGACGGATGAATGGACGGATGGATGGTCTTTACGTGTGTTATTAGCAGGTGTGTTTGAGGCTGGAGTGTAACGCTGAGTGTGCACACAGCAAACATCATTGCAGGCGTCGTGATGACTGACGGAGCTCTACAAATTAAACTGTCTTTTTATACGTAAATATAAAAACATAATTTTAACCACAGAGACACGATGTCACTGTGTATGTTCTTATTGTACCTGATTACACCAGCTGACCTTTGTTTGCAGGAAGAATGACCAGCACACAGGTCAACATGTGGATTCATTTATTTTAAAATCTTGCAGCTGGTCTACAGTTGCTAATATATGATCTTATTTCTGTGTATAACTGTGTCATCTGCATACAGTCAGTCCTACATCCACGCCTTTACTGACACTTTGTTTCAGTTTTATGTTATTTTAATTTTTAATGTTTCTTGTTGCATTAATTTCATTCATCCAGTTTTTCAGATTTGTAATTCTTTTTTAATTTTATGACTTAAATGTTGATTTTTTCAGCATTTTCTGGCTTTTCACAAGAACAGCTGTGAGGTGATGCATCGCAGCTCCAACCTCTGATGTGTTTGTACAGAGGAAACAACACATTTATCATCTTATTACTGAGTGAACACGACACTGATCCATGCAGGTGGGAGTTCAGCTCTGTGACACTCACCTTATGTCAGACATCATAACACTGAAAAATAATGATGATGATGAGGTTACCTTCACTCCGTCGGCCTTCTTGTTGCTCCCGCTCTTTCCTCCTGAGCGAGGGATGAGAACAAAGAGAGAGAGAAGCAGCAGAGTCAGGAAGAAAGGAACAAAAGCAGCAAACAGGAGAGACGGCATCGTACCCAGGACCTCTGCCCACGTGCCCTTCAGCCGGCGGTCTGATCGCAGCACAGACTGAAGACAGTGGGTCACATGTTGGAGTAAAAATACTCAGACTTCCTGCTGCAGATTCAGGGAGTTCCCGGCGTGACATGTGGGTCGCTCAGTGAGCGGCGAGGCCAAATTTAGGACCAACTTGAGATAGTTGGAGAGCAGAAAGTGTGCACACATTCCTGAGCGTCCACGCTGAACACGTGCATCTGGAAACACGTCCTCTGCTCAGGTCCAGCAGCAAACAGCCAATCAGAGAGCTCAGAACAACCAGCTCAGTATCACAACATGTGTTTGTTCTGCTCACATGACAAGAACATCAAATATACTGTTTACTTTACACCAGGGCTGCCCAATCCCAGTCCTCGAGAGCTACTATCCTGCAGCTTTTAGATGCATCCCTACTCCAACACAGCTGAATCAAATGGTTTGATTACCTCTTCAGCATGCCATCATGTTTGGCAAAGGCCTGATAACAAGCCATTCATTTGATTCAGGTGTGTGGGAACAAGGATGCATCTAAAAGCTGCAGGACGGTAGCTCTCGAGGACCGGGATTGGGCACCCCTGCTTTACACCAACGACCAAACTCCATTCAAATATCTGCTAATTTAACATCAGTCTGCATGTTGCTCAGCACTTTTCTAAAGCTCAGAAATATCCTGCTGAAAAACTAGTTCATGCATTTATTACTTCCAGGCTGGACGACTGTAATTCATTATTATCAGGAAGTCCTAAAAACTCCCTGAAAGCCTTCAGCTGATCCAAAATGCTGCAGCAAGAGTCCTGACAGGGACTAGAAAGAGAGCAGATTTCTCCTGTTTTGGCTTCCTGTTAAATCCAGAATTCAAAATTCTGCTCCTCACATACAAGGTCTTAAATAATCAGGCCCCATCTGATCTTAATGACCTTGTAGTACCATATCACCCTATTAGAGCACTTCGCTCTCGCTCTGCAGGCCTACTTGTTGTTCCTAGAGTATTTAAAAGTAGAATGGCCCCGCCCCTCCCTGAGCCTGGTTCTGCTGGAGGTTTCTTCCTGTTAAGAGTTTTTCCTTCCCCTGTCCCTGAGAGCTGCCTCTCAGAGTGTTGTCTGACTGTTTCCTCTGTTTATGTGACAGTAAAACTGCATCGAGCTCATCTGATGCTGTGCAGATGAAGACGAGTTGAATTATTCCAGCGTTTGTGTTTAATATCTGTGGACTCTTCATGCAGCGCCGTCGTCTCAACAGTCGACCTAAAACTGTTTCTGAGTCCTCGCTTGTGAAACAGGAGCAAGTGGGCGGGGCAAACATAGCCTGGGAAAACTGTGGACACAGACACACTGACAGGGCCATCATGCTCGCCGAGCCGCCTGTGTCGCACACCCATTATGACATCACACTACGTGTCATGTGACACCGTCTTTGTGGTGTTTCAGCCGGTTGTGCACGTCTCGTCTTTTTGTAGCCTGGCGTGTGTTGCTTTGGCCGCTGCGGCTGTGTCGGTGGTTTCCCCGCTATCTTTAGAGCTCAGTGTGTGTGAATGTCTGGGACAGCTGCTGCACACACACACACACACACACACACACACACACACACACACACACACACACACAGTGATAACGTGTTTATTGTGTGTAAGCTGGCAGCTGACTGGTGGATTTCTCTGTGCAACCTCCTGCTACTGGAACACAAACCTGCAGGTCAAAGGTCAAAATTGTACATGACCTTTGACCACACTGGGTGGGTTTGGGGGGGGGGGGGGGGTCTTACCAGAGAAATTCCTGGTGGCCAACATGGTGGTGAGAATGGCTCCCTGAAGGAAAGAAGGGATAAAAATAAAAGCACAGAAAATTATGACAGAATTTATTTCTGATTTTCTAAAAATGATTATTATGTGAATTTAAAACAGATTAACTTCAACATTTCCTTTAAAACAACAAAGAGTCAAAAGCAGCTGTGACCACAAATCTGAGCGTTGGAAACTTTTTTCCTCCGTGGTCACTAAAAACACTAAAACTTCATGGTTTTATTTTGAAAGTCCACCTTCAGTTTCCTCCTGGCGTTGAACTTTTTCAGACACTCAACCGTTTCCTGTCTGTGCATGCAGGATGCCACTGTGGATCGGTGCTGGGAGGAAGAAGAACATCATCATCATCGTGAGGAGCAGAGCAGGACAGAGAACAAGGTCAAAGGTCAAAGGTGAGAGGGTCTCACAGAGATCCAGGGGTGTTTGAGCGCCTCGGCAGCTGTGATGCGTTTGGCCGGGTTGATGGTCAGCATCTTATTGATGAGATCTTTGGCTTCAGGAGTCACCGTGTCCCACTCCGGGGAAGGAAACTAGGAAGCAAGGACACAGGGAGAGGAGGCAAGGAGAGGACCAGTTTAAATTAGAACAACTGTAATAACAAAGGTGTTAAAGCCCCGCCCACAATGGTTAAACTGTCAATAAAGTACAGGTGAACAGTCGTGATGTCATGTGACCTACATCATAGGCGCCAGCTTTGATCTGCTGGTACAGACGATGCTGGTCTTCATCCCAGAATGGAGGATAACCGACCAATAGGATGTAGAGAATCACACCTGAGACAGAAGACCATAAAAAATTAAATAAATACACCTGACAAAAATAAAATGCAATAAAATATAAAAAAAAATCCACAGACAGACAGAAAAACCATAAAAGCTAAAAAAAAACTGGAAGAAGGAATGAATGTGAAAGATAAAAGAGACAAAAATGTCCTCAGAGACTGAAAATAAAGAAAGTAAAACACTAAACGTGAAAACAACACCCTGGACATGAACCCCGAGTAAAAAATAAACAAACTGCACATGAGTGGAGGAAACATAAAGAAAGAAGAAACGGTAGAAACAGGAAGTAGAGACTCACCACAGGCCCAGAGGTCGACTGCTTTCCCGTATGGGTCCTTCCTGAGGACCTCTGGAGACAGATAACCTGGAGTCCCCGCAAAGCCTGAAAACAAACACATGTTTACACACAGTTGCTGTTTTGGAAGACCCTTGTTTATGTGACAAAGCGGCACAAATAAAAAATTTAGATTAATGAAGACCATCATCATCACCACCATCACCACAGTCACCATCATCGTCACCATAATCATCATCACCACAGTCACCATCATTATCGTCACCATCACCATCATCATCATCACCATAATCATCATCACCACAGTCACCATCATCATCGTCACCATCACCACAGTCACCATCATCATCGTCACCATCACCATCATCATCACCACCATCACCACAGTCACCATCATCATCGTCACCATCACTATCATCATCGTCACCATCACTATCACCATCATCATCATCACCATCACCATTATCTACACAATCATCACCATCATCATCATCACCATCACTTGGTGCTCTTACCGAACCATGCCTGCTGGTCTCCTTCCACCTCGATGGCGAGGCCAAAGTCGGCGAGTTTCACCGCCGCTCCTTTGGACTTGGAGGCCAGGAGGAGGTTCTCAGGCTGCAGACACAACAGACATGCTAACACGCTAACTCTAACCGCACTGGTTTGCACGAAAGGTGCTAAGGATGCTAACAGGACCGTTAGAGGACTTGGAGCCTGTCTCAATACGCGTACTTGTGCGTATAGTACTGTTCCAATTCAAGTACGCATCAGGCCAAGAACGCCAAAAAATCCCGGATGTGTTCCCGTCCGCCCGTTTTATTGAGCATGCATCAGTGGTGACTTGTGTAGACTTGGTACAAAACCCAATGGCGGCAATGGTGGACGAGCGGGGCTGAAAACGTTTAAATATTTCTGGGTCACAAAATAAACGTTTAAGTTATTTTCAAGTGAGAATGTAGCTGTGTAAGCTTCAAATATCTGCTCGGTTTATCAACATATCGCATATCTCCAAACGTGCTCCGACGTTTTCGGAGACGTCCGTCACCCGCCAGCTCCATAGCACACAGCGAGGTCGAGGATCACTAGAGCCGGCGACAACAGCGGACTCCTGGCACATCCTTTTGAACCCCCACCCCCCACGGTCTTTCGCTACTGAGGTTAAACATGATATATAAATCACTTAGATCACTTCGAAATGTTAATGTTTGGTTTATTTCAGTGTTTTATTTGTTCCTGAGTAAATCGGTTTGGCTGAGACTAAAGATTAAAGCTTCATAACATATTAATATCAGTTAAATTACGAGGCGACGGCAGTAAAAACTCTGGACCTGTGACATCATCAAGTACGCTGGTGTTCCAATTGTGCAAATCACGAGTCCGTGCTCGTCGAGTACACGAGCACGGACTCGCGTACTTGAGTCTTGGTTTCATTGGTTTCTTCCCGTCTTTCATCAGAGACCAGCAGCTCTGGGCTCAATTCACCCGTCTGCTGTAATCAGCTGTTCATGTTTTGATGAGCAGCTGATTACTGTTGTGTGTAACGCTGGTGTGTTGTTTGTCATGAAAACACTGTGTTTGTGTGGGCGGCTGTTAAATCATCACACGTGCTATAATTCAGGCTTAACAAGCCAGACCTCGTTCAAATAATCGATTTTCCTGCTGCTGGTTATGAGCAGGTTATTAACAGAACTCGGCGGTCAGACAGCCAATAGGATCCCAGACAGTACTGTGGCAGTAAAGATGTCCCTCCCCCACTGGCCCCAGCGGCCAATCATATCGCTGCACAGAACTGCGGTTCAGGACACGTGGAGCTGTCAGAGATTATGTCACCTGACATGTCGGGTACCTTTAGGTCTCTGTGGACCACGCCCATCTGATGACAATGTAGCACCGCCTCCAAAATCTGCTGGATACAGTGACTGTTCAGAAAGAGGTCAGAGGTCAGAGGTCAGCAGCAGATTCAGCACAGAAGCAGAAGAAGTCTGAAGAGTGCGTCTCTTACCTGGCATCAGCTTCACTGTAGTATTCTCTCGCTACGATGTCTTCAAACAGCTCTCCACCTGTCACACTGACACACACAGACACACAACGTCATGAGACACACAACACAAAACGTCAGGAAATTAAACAAACCATGAGACACACAAACACACGATGTCAGGAAATTACACAACCCTGAGACACACAAACACACGATGTCAGGAAATTACACAACCATGAGACACACAAACACACAACGTCAGGAAATTACACAACCCTGAGACACACAAACACACAACGTCAGGAAATTACACAACCCTGAGACACACAAACACACAACGTCAGGAAATTACACAACCCTGAGACACACACACACAATAGCAGGCAATTACACAACAATGAGACACACAACATAAAACGTCAGGAAATTACACAACCCTGAGACACACAAACACACAACGTCAGGAAATTACACAACCATGAGACACACAAACACACAACGTCAGGCAATTACACAACAATGAGACACACAACATAAAACGTCAGGAAATTACACAACCCTGAGACACACAAACACACAACGTCAAGAAACTGCACAACCCTGAGACACACAACACACAACGTCAAGAAACTGCACAACCATGAGACACACAACACACAACGTCAGGAAATTACACAACCCTGAGACACACAACATAAAACGTCAGGAAATTACACAACCATGAGACATACAAACACACAACGTCATGAGACACACAACACAAAACGTCAGAAAATTAAACAAACCATGAGAGACACAAACACACAACGTCAGGAAATTACACAACCCTGAGACACACAAACACACGATGTCAGGAAATTACACAACCATGAGACACACAACATAAAACGTCAGGAAATTACACAACCATGAAACACACAAACACACAACGTCAGGAAATTACACAACCATGAAACACACAAACACACGATGTGAGGAAACTACACAACCATGAGACACACAAACACACGATGTCAGGAAACTAAACAACCATGAGACACACACACACGATGTCAGGAAACTACACAACCATGAGACACACACACACAATGTCAGGCAATTACACAACAATGAGACACACAAACACACGATGTCAGGAAATTACACAACCCTGAGACACACAAACACACAACGTCAAGAAATTACACAACCCTGAGACACACAAACACACGATGTGAGGAAACTACACAGCCATGAGACACACAACATAAAACGTCAGGAAATTACACAACCATGAAACACACAAACACACGATGTCAGGAAACTACACAACCATGAGACACACACACACACACAATGTCAGGAAACTACACAACCATGAGACACAAACACACAACGTCAAGAAATTACACAACCCTGAGACACACAAACACACAACGTCAGGAAATTACACAACCCTGAGACACACAAACACACAACATCAGGAAATTACACAACCATGAGACACACACACACACACAACGTCATGAAACTGCACAACCATGAGACACACAACACACAACGTCAGGAAACTAAACAACCATGAGACACACAACACACAACGTCAGGAAACTACACAACCATGAGACACACAACGTCAGGAAATTACACAACCATGAGACACACACACACACAACGTCATGAAACTGCACAACCATGAGACACACAAACACACAACGTCAAGAAACTGCACAACCATGAGACACACAAACAGACAACGTCAAGAAACTGCACAACCCTGAGACACACAACGTCAGGAAACTACACAACCATGAGACACACAACACACAACGTCAGGAAACTACACAACCATGAGACACACACACACACACAACGTCACGAAACTGCACAACCATGAGACACACAAACACACAACGTCAAGAAACTGCACAACCATGAGACACACAAACAGACAACGTCAAGAAACTGCACAACCCTGAGACACACAAACACACCAGGTCAGGAAACTACACAACCCTGAGACACACAACACAAAACGTCAGGAAACTGCACAACCCTGAGACACACAACACACAACGTCAAGAAACTACACAACCCTGAGACACACAAACACACAACGTCAGGAAACTACACAACCCTGAGACACACAACACAAAACGTCAGGAAACTGCACAACCCTGAGACACACAACACACAACGTCAAGAAACTACACAACCCTGAGACACACAACACACAACGTCACGAAACTACACAACCATGAGACACACAACACACAACGTCAGGAAACTACACAACCATGAGACGCACATCGTCAGGAAACTACACAACCATGAGACACACAACACACAACGTCAGGAAACTACACAACCCTGAGACACACACACACAACGTCATGAAACTGCACAACCCTGAGACACACAAACACACAACGTCAGGAAACTACACAACCCTGAGACACACAACACACAACGTCAAGAAACTACACAACCCTGAGACACACACACACAACGTCATGAAACTGCACAACCATGAGACACACAAACACACAACGTCAAGAAACTGCACAACCATGAGACACACAACGTCAAGAAACTACACAACCATGAGACACACAACGTCAGGAAACTACACAACCATGAGACACACAACACACAACGTCAAGAAACTACACAACCCTGAGACACACACACACAACGTCAAGAAACTGCACAACCATGAGACACACAACGTCAGGAAACTACACAACCATGAGACACACAACACACAACGTCAGGAAACTACACAACCATGAGACACACACACACACACAACATCACGAAACTGCACAACCATGAGACACACAAACACACAACGTCAAGAAACTGCACAACCATGAGACACACAACGTCAGGAAACTACACAACCATGAGACACACACACACACACACAACGTCACGAAACTGCACAACCATGAGACACACAAACAGACAACGTCAAGAAACTACACAACCCTGAGACACACAAACACACAACGTCAGGAAACTACACAACCCTGAGACACACAACACAAAACGTCAGGAAACTGCACAACCCTGAGACACACAACACACAACGTCAAGAAACTACACAACCCTGAGACACACAAACACACAACGTCAGGAAACTACACAACCCTGAGACACAACACAAAACGTCAGGAACCTGCACAACCCTGAGACACACAACACACAACGTCAAGAAACTACACAACCCTGCGACACACAACACAAAACGTCACGAAACTACACAACCATGAGACACACAACACACAACGTCAGGAAACTACACAACCATGAGACACACAACACACAACGTCATGAAACTGCACAACCATGAGACACACAACGTCAGGAAACTACACAACCATGAGACACACAACACACGTCAGGAAACTACACAACCATGAGACACACAACACACAACGTCAGGAAACTACACAACCATGAGACACACAACACACAACGTCAGGAAACTACACAACCATGAGACACACAACACACAACGTCAGGAAACTACACAACCCTGAGACACACAACACACAACGTCAGGAAACTACACAACCATGAGACACACAACACACAACGTCATGAAACTGCACAACCATGAGACACACAACGTCAGGAAACTACACAACCATGAGACACACAACGTCAGGAAACTACACAACCCTGAGACACACAACACACAACATCAAGAAACTACACAACCATGAGACACACACACACACACACAACGTCATGAAACTGCACAACCATGAGACACACAAACACACAACGTCAAGAAACTGCACAACCCTGAGACACACAACGTCAGGAAACTACACAACCATGAGACACACAACACACAACGTCAGGAAACTACACAACCATGAGACACACACACACACACACACAACGTCACGAAACTGCACAACCCTGAGACACACAAACACACAACGTCAAGAAACTGCACAACCATGAGACACACAAACAGACAACGTCAGGAAACTACACAACCCTGAGACACACAACACAAAACGTCAGGAAACTGCACAACCCTGAGACACACAACACACAACGTCAAGAAACTACACAACCCTGAGACACAAACACACAACGTCAGGAAATTACACAACCCTGAGACACAAACACACAACGTCAGGAAACTGCACAGTTTTGACCTCTGGATGTGGGGACACTGGGTGGAGGGGCTCTGAATGTAGTGGCTGTAGGTGGAGGACACTGGGTGGATAAGCTGCTTACCTGTGGACAGATGTGCTTCACCTCTGTTTGAATATTTGGATTCTGTTTGCTTGTCTCACTGATTTCTGTGGTTTTCATTGGTGGTGGTGTAAGAAAGGGGTGTGGGTGGGGTCAAAATCACGGTATAAAGGACAGTTGTAGCCACAGTGACACCACCCACTGGTGGCGTCACGGAGCCTTCGTGGTGTTTTCAGTGTGGATGTGAGGAGCTCAGGTGTGTCACAAACAGCATGACGAGACACTCACAGGTCAAAGATGAGGTAATGATGCCCCTCCTCCGAGATGCTGTCATGCAGCCGAACTGGAAGACAGAAAGGAAAGCAGACATTTTATTTTCCCGTTACACCACGTCAACCCCACAGAGCGCACACGCAGCTGCTCGCCACGCAGCTGCTCGCCACGCAGCTGCTGGCCGAGGTCAGAGGTCACAGTCATTGGTTCTCCCTCTGCCACCCTTAACCCTTCCTGCTCTGCTGTGACTCTGACCAGCATCTCCAAAATGAACTTCCTGTTTTATCCAATCAGACCACAAACTTGTCACCTCACTGAACTCACCGATCAGCTGACCAGGACGCTTATTTCCTCATACACTGCATCCAATCAGGGCAGAAGAGGCGCCCCCTGCTGTATGTTAGAAAGGCTGCAGATACATACAGGAAACTGCTGAAGATTAAGGCTGAACACCGACTGTGGCTGTTAGTAATGTGTCAGTGAGCGTGCCGTCCAAGCTGGGCGGGGCTAAGGGCGAATCAGCCATGCTGGTTTCTTCTGACACATTTAAACCGACCCATCCTCACAGGCGACTCTCAGAGCAGCTCTGCATGACTCACAGATCAGAATAAGACTTCTTTGTCTGACACTCAGACTCAGTTCATCCTCAGTCTAAAACAATAAGTTTAAGCTCCTCCCCTCTTACTTTTGATTGGCTGAGCGGGTGGGCGGAGCTTCTATAAAGCTGTGATACTGAATATTCCTGAACAGCCTGAGCTGTGGGCTCACAGGGATCACTGCACATACACCAAGACCATTCATATAAACTTGGTAAATGGCCTGTATCTGTATAGCGCTTTACTCGTCCCTAAGGACCCCAGAGCGCTTTACACCCATTCACACACTGGTGATGGCAGCTACATTGTAGCCACAGCTGCCCTGGGGCGCACTGACAGAGGCGAGGCTGCCGGACACTGGCGCCATCGGGCCCTCTGACCACCACCAGGCAACGGGTGAAGTGTCTTGCCCAAGGACACAACACCGAGACTGTCGGAGCCGGGGCTCGAACCGGCAACCTTCTGATTACAAGACAAACTCCCAACTCTTGAGCCACGATCGCCAGCTTCATGTTTAATATGAAAATCCAGCACAGGGGCAGGGGTCATGTGACAGGAAGTGAGGAGAAGCAGAAGAGGTCCAGTTTAAACTGATACCTGATGATTTACATCCGGACAGTTGTTCTGGTTTTAGTGATTTATGCAGTGATGTGCGAGAAGACGTTTCATCCTGAATTCACAGAGCGAACGTTCAGATTTCTGTTCTGGAAAATCAAACATGGAGTTTCTTAAACGGCGTGTCACAGTTAATCAGGTCCTTCCTGTGACGGGGTCCTCGCAGTTTGAGAAACTTGTTGGATGACGTCTCTGAGCCCGACTGAAGGCGTCTGTTTCTGCTCTCCGCTTATATTGTTTAATAGGAAGTATTATAGCTGAGGAGAGAGAGGCTGCTGCCCACACACACACACACACACACACACACACACACACACACACACTAAATCCCGCTGCTGTACTGTGTAGGAGTGCTTTGAGAGAAAACCTGATTATTTCTTTCTGAGTGCTTTCACACAGGTACTGTGTGTGTGTGTGTGTGTGTGTGTGTGTGTGTGTGTGTGTGTGTGTGTGTGTGTGTGTGTGTGTAGGAGGAAAGATGGTTTTGATTCCTTCACCTATGGACTCTGTTGCCTAGCAACACCACACACACACACTCAGGGTTACGTAACACTCCTCAGTATCTGTAGAGCATCGCCTGCCCACACAAGGCAATGATTGGCCGCTCTGTTCGGCTGCAGGCTGCCGATTGGCCGGCTGGGTCCACGCGAGGTCATATTTGAACATCTGACTGACGGCGGTGAGTTTGCTTGGACTCCATCGAGCACACAGTTTGTTTTTTGGAGGTTTCGGTGTGAGGGTCTGTGCTCTGCGCTCAGACTGGACCCGCCCACAGCAGCGGCGCCTCCTGCTGGGCTTTTATTCTGAATTATTCACAGGAAGTGGCGGCCGCACACAGATCAGTTTGCGTTTAAGTGGTTTGAGCTCTGAGGCGTTTCCCACACACTCATTAAGCTGTCCACGGGCTCATCTGAGGACGCGTGAAGCCCCCTGTGCGTGCCTGGCAGCAGGCAGCCGTCAGACGGAGCTCCTCATGTTGCAGAAGGCTCGCTGCTCGCTGTAACGTCATTACCAGGAGAGGCGGCTCACACATGATCTGATGAACACTCATTAAGTCGAGCTGCGGGCTCAGAGGCAGCGCCGGCATCCTGCTGCACAGCCACAGGGTTTTCACATTGCTGCCTCGGTGCACAGAGCAGACTCTCAGCACTAATAAAACACAGATATTACACTAAGGACACGCCCACTAATGACATCACAGATCAACCATAATGATCGTTCATAAACTATGGATGTAGCTTCCTGATAGGTGAAGTCAGAGATTTCCTAATCTAATGCAGAACTGCGACTCTCTGGACGTCCTGTCCTACAGGGGGCGCTGTTGCTCAGCAGGGGGCCGTTCAGAGACTGAAGCATTAGGCGTTTACCACAGACATCCATCTTTGCTGCCATCGTACGAGCTCAGGCTCCAGCGTGCTGATCGATTTCAGAACAACAACACTGGAGTCATGTGTTTCGTTGGGAGAGCTCTTCTGGGGTAAACAGAGTCACAGCCTCCACAAAGACGTGTTTGTCTGAGCCCAGCAGAAGTGAGCCAGTATCAGTGTGGAGGATCAGGATCATGGATTTCACGTCAGTCAAGCCAGAACATCTTACTATTCATCACTGAGTGAAGACAATAAGAACAACCCCAGGTTTCTCTTCAGCTCTGTAGCCAGGCTGACAAACAGTCAGAGCTCTGTTGAGCCAACCATCCCTTTAACGTTAACTAGTAATGACCAGTGTTGGGTAAGTTACTTTAAAATAGTAACTTAGTTACATTACTAGTTACTTCTCTCAAAAGTAACTCAGTTACTTCAAGGTACTCGTTACTTTCAAAGTAACTAGTTACTAGGGAAAGTAACTTTGGTTTTACTCAGAATTCTCTTGTTAATGTGTTGCTTCCATAACTGGATACCCAGCCAGACTGCCAGTCTTCTAGCTTGTTTACTTGCCACAGTGCACTGTGCCACCTACCAATAGAAAGGAAAAGATAATGTGCATATTTCCACGAGAGAAATCCCACGCCTGGACCGTCATTGACTGCTGCCATGATTCTAGCCTACGTCACAGCGTCATGTGCGCCTTTTACATCCAACACAAAAACTGCAGTCATGGTGCTTTCGATTGTACTCAGAACTCGGAAATTCTGCCTTCTGAATAGGAAGATGTAGGTAACACCAGACTGCAGATGAGCTGCATACAGGGCTGGACTGGGACAGAAAATCAGCCCGAGCATTTTGACTAGAGACCGGTCCACCATTATAGGAAAAATCCTTGAAAGAGTAGTTGTCAAACAGCTAACAGATCATCTGCAGAGGTTTATTTGAAGAGTTTCAGTCAGGTTTCAGAGCTCAGCACAGCACAGAAACAGCTTTAGTGAAGGTTACAAATGATCTTCTTATGGCCTCTGACAGTGGACTCATCTCTGTGCTTGTCCTGCTAGACCTCAGTGCAGCGTTCGATACTGTCGACCATAATATCCTATTAGAGCGATTAGAACAAGCTGTAGGTGTTACAGGTACTGCACTGCAGTGGTTTGTATCATATCTATCTAATAGACTCCAGTTTGTGCATGTAAATGGAGAGTCCTCTTCACACACTGAGGTTAATTATGGAGTTCCACAGGGTTCAGTGCTAGGACCAATTCTGTTTACATTATACATGCTTCCCTTAGGCAGCATCATTAGAAGACATAGCATACATTTACACTGCTATGCTGATGCTATGCAGAAACCCGTCCTGGAGGACGAGGCGGCTGTTCCTGAGGTCAGGGTGAAGAAGCCGTTAGCTGTAATTTGGGGAGGCGGAGCTTTTCCACAACGCCATTACGTTCAAAGGCTCACGAAACTCTCACAATCTATTCATACAAGATCTCTAACAGCCTCGAGGAAGACTCTCAGTCATTCAGAGGTAAGAGCGACCTAAGCCCATCTCTGAGGGAACATCTGTCACCCTCTTACAATGATTGCAGCCATTCTCCAACTCTGTGCATGGGACTCGTGGTTATTGATCAACCCTTCGATGTGATTCAAACCTGATTGTACAGAAGACAGTCCCTACGTTACTGACGAAGGCGGCTCTCAGTATCACAGTACTCGTACTGCGTGCTGTCTCCAGTACACGGTGCAGGTTTTCCTTCCAGCTGCTCAGAGATCAGCGTGTTGGAGGGAAACCTCTCCGCGTCCTCGTCTGTCGCCTCCACTCTGAGAACGACTCCTCTGTGATTTTACCGCCTTCATCACCCTCACCGTTAGCAGCCGAGGTACATACAGCAGTGTTAGTACATGCAGTACATGCAGTACATGCAGTATTACTCACCGATGTTGGGGTGTTTCAGTAGTCGACAGATTCGAGCTTCACGGTCCAACTTCTGATGATCTGACAACACAAACACAGAGATTACTGATCAGAGGCATCGATCGGGGATCTCCCTCCTGACCTTGTTATTGATCAGGAGAGTCAGCAATCAGACCTGTTGTCGGTTTTCACACCGCGAGGTGATCGCAGGTATTTCACAGACAACAGGAAATCAGTCCAATCAGAGCTCACGCTCATGAAGCATCAATGTGACGGTGATAGTTTCGTTATCTCTGATCTTCATCCCGGATAAACGCTCACTGAGGCGCTCAGAAACAGGAGAATCAGGCTTTTGCTGCCTGAGGTTTGATCTGAGCGTCAGTGTCACAGCGATGCAGAGATATCTGTGTGCACATCCAGACTCCACCGAGGCAGGAGCTGCTCACACACAGCTCTGCTGACCAAGAACGAGGTCGGTTTCAGGCCTGAGCGCCGTGAGGTGGGACCAAAGAGACCTCTGCATCAGTGGGACTTTGTCTGGTAATGACAGATCAGGATGGTTTTAAGTCAAAGTTTTATTTTCCACTTTATTTCCCTGCTTAAAACCTCCTCTGACCTCCTGAACACTTCCTGTAAAGTCTGTCTGAGGCTCCAAAGGTGAGTCAGTGCAGTGTTGGGGCTTAAATCAGGCGCGTGGCTGCTGGGAATAATGGGAGAGCTGTTTGTTGCTCCTCATCTTTATCAACTGTGCGCAGCTTTGATGCTGGAAGCTTTTTGGTTTCTGCAGCAGACGCCTGCACACAGCCCAGCATTAGCCGAGTTCATAGTAATGATGACGATGGAAATAAAGGTGACCCATCATGTGACCAATAACATGGTCACATGATGCTAATGATATATTCAGATATATTGTTGATATTACAGTAAAATCCATGTTCTTGTGATTGTATGGAGCACCTTGATCTCAAAGGGACAGAGTAATCCCATTACCTGCTGTGCTGATATTAAAATATTAGACTGTGAAGACAGTGAATGTGACCTCAGAGATTTGCTGTTCTGTTGTTTTTGTGTTTTAGTCCTTAAACAGATGTTCGTTTTTCTAACTTCAGAAGATGAAAAAAGCTTGAACCATCACCAATGTGACCTTTTATCTTATTAAACACTGAAACGAGTCAAACACAGGTTTAAAGCTGCTTTCAAAGCTGTTCACAGAGTGAGAGGAGATGTTACACCACCTGCTGTAGAACTACACCTGTGCAGAAGCTCAAAGGTGGTTTTGAACATCTAAAGTGAACAAACGAATATTAACTCAGTGTCAAACATGCAGCACAGCGGCCAGAACCAGATCACCAGAGGGTCCAGCTCGGGTCTTTGTGAGGTCATGAAGTTCTCCAGGTTTCAGTAAACAGCTGTTTGCTTTGTTTTCATGGCGGCATGATGACACAGGAGCGAACATGGAAAACTAAGAGTATTAGTAGATGTAGCGAAACATTTAAAACAGCAGTTTGGATCCAAAAAGGCAAAAACAGGTGAAGGTGTGTTTGAGCTGTGAGGCTCAGCGTCCCAGCAGGCTGAAGGGATGCAGAAGAACTGAGCTCAGGCGGCTCAGGCTCATCGATCAGATAAGAAGAACAATAAGTGTGTTAGAAATCACATCCTGCTGGGATGCAGACCCTTCACTCGTCGTGAGCTCACTGGTCTGAACCAATCATGATCCTGTGTGACCCATGAACTGGTGGTCCACGCCCACAGGTGGTCCACGCCCACAGGTGAGGACCAACAAACTGCACTGTGGATCTTCACTGTCACTGAGTCCACGCCTCGTGTAGGGCTGTTCGATATAACGATATATATCGGATGACGATATAAAAACATTTATCGTTTCCTATCACGCTATCGTTTGTTTCGTGGTGTCGCAAAATAAACTGTTTACAGCAATATTTTTCATGGTTCTGATGTCACTGTAGTTATTATTAATTTCTTAAAGGTCTCTCTTTCTCTTATATTTGATATAACCACACTACGGACGGACAAGCGCCTGTTTTTATGCGTTGTCGTTAGTAACAACAATGGTAACAGCATCGCGTGGCTCTGCTGTCCGCTTGTTTGTTTTCCACGTAAACCTTTCACAATAAAGTCTCAGGATCCTCTTGAGACTTTATAAAATAAACTGAATCACGGGAATGCAGAGAGTTTAGGGATGAGAAGCAAAAAAGAGCCGTCAGGTGCTGAAAAATAAACCCTAGACTCAAACTTTGAAAGAAAACGGCGGCCGTTACAACATGTCTAAAAATGTATCGTTTCATGCATCGTTAAAACACTCGACTCCAGGTAAATGACGGCCAGCTGCAAACACGTCACGCAAGTCGAGCTGCCCGAGATTCACAGAATTTATAGAAAACGTTACATTTTTGTGATTTATATCGTTGTCAGGACGATAGATGTCTTATATCGGGATATGAGATTGTGGTCATATCGCACAGCCCTAGCCCCGTGTGCACCATCGAGGTTTATTTGCAGCTCTCGAGCTACAAACGTGACATCAGGAGGTTAGTTTGAGCTGCTGTCAGTTTGGAATCAATTAAAGTTTCTCCTTCTTTGTTTTTCCTGCAGCTGAGTGCATCAAGTGGACATTAAAGGCCATTTAAAAACCACCAGAAACTCATTTAGTGCGAGCAGCGAGAGAAGCAGCTGGTTCCCTTCCAGTAACTCTTTAATTAGATATTAATGTGCTGGGTGGAAGCCATTAGCCGCGGCGCCGCGATGATCACACGAGAAATTATCCGGCATAAATGGAGTATTGATTGTTTGGGACTCTGAAGTCAGCTTCAGCTCCCGTGAAACTCACTGTGACCTCCCCAGGCGGTTCAGCCCACCGGCGACTGATCCCGACTCGGCGCGGCTGAACCAACAGAAGCAGCGCGGCGAGATCACGAGTGTCCGGCAGCCAACACGAGGCTGCCGAGGAAGGCGTCCAACCGAGCAGCAGCTCTGAAGCTCCAAAGACTGGCAGCATGACAGGCACACACACACACACACACACACACACACACACACACACACACACAGACACACACACACACACACACACACACAGACACACACACAGACACACACACACACACACACACACACACACACACACACACACACACACACAACACACACACACACACACAGACACACACAGACACAGACACACAGACACACACACACAGACACACAGACACAGACACACACACAGACACACACACACACACACACACACACACACACACACACACACACACACAGACACACAGACACAGACACACACACAGACACACACACACAGACACACACACAGACACACACAGACACACACACAGACACACACAGACACACAGACACACACACAGACACACACACACACACAGACACACACACACAGACACAGACACACACACACACACACACACACACACACACACACACACACACACCACACACACAACACACCACAGACACGACACACACACACACACACACACACAACACACACACCACACAACACACAACACACACACACAACACAGACACAACACAACACACACACACACAACACAGACACACACACACACAACACACACACACACACACACACACACCACACACACACACACACAGACACGCACAGACACACTCACAGACACACACAGACACACACACACAGACACACACACACAGACACACGCACAGACACACACAGATACACACACACAGACACACACACACAGACACACAGATACACACACACAGACACACACACACACAGACACACACACACACACACACACACACACACACACACACACACACACACACACACACACACGCAGACACAGACACACACACACAGACACACACACAGACACACAGACACACACACACACACACAGACACACACACACACACACACACACACACACAGACACACACACACACACACACACACACACACACACACACACACACACACACACACACACACACACACACACACACACACACACAGATACACACACACACACACACACAGCTCTGCTTTGACTGTGCTGGGATCAGACGGTGCTTGACTCACAGTCTGATGATCAAACGTGTTCGTACAGAATCAAATGCGGTTTCTTCTTCTGCTGTTTTTATTCTTTATATTCTCTGACTCAGACCCAGCTCCACCCTTTGACTCAGCATCGCCGCACCCTGAGCTCAGCGGTCAGGCGTTCCTGAGTGAGACCGTTTCCTGTGGGGTGAACGGGACGTCTGTGAGCGATCGATGTCCGCTCATTAGCCGCTCACTGTGGGACATAACCGTGGATCTACATCATCCACAGCACAGTGACAATGTCACAGCACGGTGACATCATCCACAGCACAGTGACATCATCCACAGCACAGTGACAATGTCACAGCACGGTGACATCATCCACAGCACAGTGACAATGTCACAGCACGGTGACATCATCCACAGCACAGTGACATCGTCACAGCACAGTGACATCATCCACAGCACAGTGACAATGTCACAGCACGGTGACTGATTGGATTGGATGGAAACATGCAGCCACCCTAAGAACCAATCACAGCAACAGAGCAACCACAGAGAGTAGTGACAGGAAGTAGGAGGGGCCTGTTATGAAATTTTCTCAACTTACTCCCAGCCGGTCACAGCAGATGGCCCCGCCCCTCCCTGAGCCTGGCTCTGCTGGAGGTTTCTTCCTGTTAAAAGGGAGTTTTTCGTTGTGCTGGCTCACAGCGGCTCATACGACGTTTTGTGTATTATTGTCGATCTTTACAACATGAAACACGTGGGGGCGACTGTCGCTGTGCTGCTATATAAACATCACTGAACTGAGCTGAATAGTAACATTTTAACAAGATAGCAACATTTTCTGAGGTCACACGCGTGTCCGCCGCAGCGTCATGAAAGCATCATGGCTGTGACAGCATGACAGGAAGTCAACATTCAGCCCGCTGCTCTTTGTCGATTTTAGAGAGAAAATAGTTCCTCCATGAAACTGAAGAGTGATGGGGTCATCTTTCTCTTTGACCCCTAGCTGGTGTTGGGTGTGCATCGATTCCTGAGCCCATACGCTGCTGTGGGTGCCAATGGTTGTCGAATTTCCTTCACAACTCGTTGCCATGCATGGCGATCGTTGGCGATTGTCCTGGCCTCGTCGAGATTTATTCTGCCCCTGATGTCATCTTTGACCTGTTTTAGCCATGTTTTCTTTGGTGCCGTTCTGTGGATTCTCCACTGGGTGGGTTGTTTACGCCAGAGGAGTTGATGTGGTAGTCTGCTCGCATCCATTTGACACACATGGCCAAACCATCGCAATCAGTGTTTCTGAATTCGCCCCTCAATTGGCGGTTGGTTGCCGCATCGCTATCAGATGTCCTCGTTTCGAAGGCGGTCTCGAAGTGACACTTGTAATATCTGTCGAAGGCAGTGCATCTGGAAAACGTCGAGTTTGTTGAGGTCCGCTCTGAGCACCGTCCACGTTTCAGATCCATAGAGCAATATCGGGAGGATCAGCGTCCGGAAACGGCGGATTTTGGTCGAGATGGAAATATTGGTTCGCTTCCACAAGCACCACTTTAGAGATTGCTGCAGTTGCGTGACCTATTCGACTGTGGATCTCTGCCGTGGAACCAACCTTCCTTTGCTCGATCAGTGAGTCCAGGTAGTTGAACTGCTGGACTTGCTCTATTTGGACACCGTTGAGGTAGACGTTGGCAGGCGACCCATCTGTTGTCATCTTGTCAGTGTTTATCTTGAAGCCATATGACTCGGCGGTGCGTGTGAGCTTGTATAGAGCATCTGTGGCTTCGGCGTCATCCTCGGCCAGCACAGTGCTGTCATCTGCAAACACGAGATCCGTCACGGTGCCATTTTCATCAAACCAGACTCCGCATCTGCCCCTGAAGACTCATGATGGCGTCGACTACGATGTTGAAGAGCAGCAGTGAGGCGACAGCGCCCTGGCAGACTCCAGTGCGGATGGTGAATTTAGTCGACAGCTCATTACGGCTGCGTATTTGGCTCGATGATCCGTTGTAATTTTCCTGCAGGAGCTTAATGACTTTTGGTGGGATGTGCTCGGTCTCCATCGCCATCCAAAGTGCTGGCCAATCGATGCAGTCAAATGCGGATCGATCAATGCGGTCATGGTTTCTGCTGAGAGGTTTTCACATGTAGGTTTTGGAGCTTTGAGCATCATCGACTTCCAACACAGTGAAGAGGAGGCAGACGTGTCCACAGCTAGCACATCAGACTGGACCTCGCCGCAGGTCCAGTCTGATGTGGATGGTCTGAGTGCTGCACGGGTTCACGGTTTAGGTGGACGTTACAAGGACGGACGCTGTGACAGCAGCTCTGAGCGGTAGCTCCGCCTCTGTGGGAGGAGACGGCGGCGATGTGCAGGAGACTCCACCTCAGAGACGAGACAGCTTGTTTAATGAAATCATCTTCATCATCATGAGTGATTGTTAGAGCCAACAGTGTGGTTTTCAGAATCTGTACAATTTTATTTTATAGGGTTTTAATTTTTAAATATATTTTTTGCTGTTTGTATTTAAAACAACTAATCTATTTTTAAACAATCCTTTTGTGTTTATTTTCTGATTTCTTTTCTCTTTTTTAAGATCCTACTTTTATTTATCCTGAAACTATTTTGTCTGATTTATTTTTAATAATTATTTTATTTCATTATTTTATTCTTGTTTATATAATTTCTGATCTGTATTGTTGGAGGATCTTTACCATAAAAGTGAACCGACACCTGAATGTTTAAAATGTATTTGTGTTTACTTTTTATTATTGTTATTTTTCAGTGAGTAATTATTTTGCATCCATATGTATTAGATTCTATTATATGTATATATGTGTATGTGCTGGTTTGACTGGTTTGACTGGTTTGAGGTCTGTGCACGCGTCATTAATAACTCCTGTGGTCACTCAGCTGTGACGACTCTGACCTCAGGTGACCTCTGTTCAGCATGCAGTACGAATAAAGTTTGATTGACTCACAGCCTACATTAATGTCATGTTTCCTGTTGCAGGTTTGAGGTGACAGTGATGCGGGCGAATGACGGCGTTGTGACGATGGCGTGCTGCTGGTTTGAAATTAAAGAGATCTGATTGGACGTTTCCCCCCAGCAGGTGAGCGAACACCTGCAGAGACACCCATTATGTAACCGCGGCGACGCTTCAGCAGCAGTTTGTCCTGCAGAGTCAACTGAAGGAAAGAGATGGAGAGATGAACACACACACTTCTTTGTCAACTTTGCAGGGTGTTGCTAAGCAACCGAAGGAAATCTGAAACCAGAATAGCGATGTGAAAAAAATCAACAGAATGTAGAGAAAGATGCAGCTTCGCTGTTTCTCTCAGCTTTGCCGTCATGTTGGAACGTGTGGGAGATGAGGGGGAGGAGGGGGAGGAAGGTTTCCATCCAAAGCACAACCAAGCACGCTAACAGGAAGTTAGCGAGAAAACCAAATGAGCGCCGTGGTTTTATGAACGCATAACTTTACATGATGCTGATGTCATTAAACACACCTGTCTGAGCTCCCGCACGCTAACACGCTCATGTGACCAAGATCCAGACACACAGGTCATGTGATTTAGGTATGCAAAGTGGGACGGGCTTAAAAGCAATGAATACCAGCTCGCCATGAGGAGACGCTCAATGTTTGCTTCAGACAAATAATCACAAGAACAACAGTCACAACAATGAAGGTTTCACACAGACCGAGCTCGTCCACAAGACGCCACACCTGGATCACACACACCTGGATCACACACACCTGAGTCTGTGGCTCAGGTGTGTGATATGTTAGAGACATGGTCTCTGACTTCCTGCTAAAATCTAAAACTACAAGCTCTCCTAAACCTACTGGGCTTCAACCAGGAAGTGACATCATCATCCTTCATCACACCCCAACTTCCTAATATGTCTCTGTGCACAACACTGAGCATGTGTGACATGGACACAACGGCCAACTTGTGAAGTTGTAGTCGTGTGTTAGCTCATGAGCTAGCAGTGTGTGATGTCTGGTCAGCAGAGGCCAAGTTTGGGCCTCACGTTGGTTTTAAACCTGAGGTGAAGCTCGACATCACAGGAAGTTAATAATAATGTAAAAAACATTTTAAACTTTAGCTGCACAACGACTTTACTGCTTCAGAGGGTCTTTGGTTGCGGTGGAGGCTGGGTGGAGGTGTCGCTACATATGTATGCACGGCTGCTCGTTACACTGAAGGCAGCTTTACTGACAGCTGATTTCTGTCATGATG